TTTTTTTGAAAAGCAATCCTAATCTCATGGTTCTAAAGATATTCTTTAAAAGCAATAGATCTGCCTGGATGTCAGCTGGGACAGGTTGCTCATTATAACCTGTTTTTTATCCAGAAGGCAGCATGGCCTATGGTAGTGCTCCTGAACTCTGGAGAACCCTGCTGCCTATCTCAGATCAGTTTAAATTAGAATGGGCGGTGGGCGAAGGGTTTGGATAGTTCCCAGAGATAGTTATTTTTATATCTCCCTAGGTAATTCTAATAAGATTGAGAACCACTGGTATTATGGTTAAGAGTGTGGGTTCTGCCTGGCCAGTGTGGCTCAGTTGGTGGGAGCATCATTCCATACACAAAAGGTGGCATGTTCAGTTTCTGGTCAGGGCACATACCCAGGTTGTGGATTTGATCCACAGTCAGGGCATATGTAGGAGGCAACAGATCGATGTTTCTCTCGCCCATTGATGTTTCTCTCTCTCTCCCCCCTTCCCTCCCTCCCTTTCTCTAAAGTTAATTTTTTTTAAAAGTTTGGGTTCTAAAGCTTGACTGGCTGTGTTCAAATCCTGACCTGTTACTTTCTAGCTCTGTGACTTGGGGGAGTTATTTAGTCTCTAAGAAGCTCAATGTGCTCTAATAGAGAGGCAGATGACAGTAGTTCTCATGGGGTTGTTGGGAGCCTCTAACAAAATGTTACAGTTCTTCTTAGAGTGGTATCTGCTACATAGTAAGTCCCCAATAAATGTTAGTTATTATCTGGCCTTTTCCATCTTCCAAGCAGTCTTCTAGTGGCCTAGTCTCTTGAGAGAATGGGAACATTGGAATAAACATCTTGACACATTAGGTGTGAAGTTATTGCTTCTTCTTAATGCCAACAGCAATAATAAAAGATACCATTTGATAAATACTATGTGCCACTCTGCTATGTGGTTATCTTATCCTTTCAACAGTCCTGTGAAGGGAAGGTAGTTACCATTTCTGTTTTACTAATGGGGAAACTAAGGTACTGAGAGGTTGAGAAACTTGCCCAAGGTCCCACAGCTAGGTAAGTAGCAAGGCTGGGATTTGAAGGCTGGTCTGAGGGAAACCTGTGTTCCTAACCTCTCTGTCAGCATTCAGGAATGCAGTGTGGGATGTGCTACACTAGACAGTTCTGCATCAAGAATGACTTGCTACATATCTTTAGTGACTCAGTGTCAAGCAGCTTTGGTTTCCTTATCCCCAATATTAAAGCTTTCATGGTTGGAAGGGACCTTAGAGATCATCAAAATTCACCTCCTGCCCAGCTCTGCAGGCGTTTTGGCAAAGTTCCCAGTGGTCTTTCAGCTTCTGCCTAAACATTTCCTAGTGATGGCCAAAGAACTATTTATATAGCAGTCAGTTTGATTTTGGATACATGTTGATACATGTTCCTCATGTTGAATAGAAATTGCTTCCTAATAATTTCTGTCTATTAGTTACTTACTGTGTGGCCCTTAGAACATTAAGTCCTTTCCTCATTCACATAGTAATCCTTCAGGTGAATGGGCAATAAGCCCATTTCCTAAACTTTCTTTGTGACTTGACTTTCTGGTCTCTTCTAAACTCTTTTCAATTTCTAAATGTCCTTCAGAAGGTGAGGTGTAGATTCCAGATATGCTTGGCTTCATGGAAAGTATGGCAGGGCTATACCACATTTCTTACTGTTGTACTCACCCTCTAGTCAACCAAAGCACCCAGGTCTTTTCCCTAGGAATTCTGTCTGTCAAAGCAGCCTTTCTTGTCTTGTACTTGAGGCACTGTTTAAAAATTACTTTATTATTTATCCCTATCAAATTACATCTTGTTAATTTCAGGACTCCAGTCTGTTGAGTTTATTTTCATCTTAACTGTACCTTTTAATGGTTTAGCGATACGGATTCCTCTCTTTGGTATGCCCGGCTTCTGCATCTTCATCCAGTTGGTAAATGTTGATCAGGATAATCCCGTATCATGCCATGAAACATAGATCCATGAATTACAAGTCTTAGTTTATCATCAGGTCCACATTTCGTTTTATTGCCATGAGGAACCTAGATTACATGCCCAATGGTCTCGAAATAGAACACCATCTATGGTATTACTTGAATTTCTTGGCCTGGTAATGCTGTCAAAAAAGGGAAAGAGATTAGTGTGGTTTGCTTCTTAGTGAACTCCTGTCATTTCCTATGGGAGAGACTTAAGGGATTTCTTAAGAGACTTATGGGGTTTCTTAAGGGATTGTAGATTCTGTTTGATAAGCTACTTTTTAAAAATTTTAGAGAATGACATTAATCTTTTCTTTTTTATATATACATTAATTCTCACCCAAGGATATGTTTTAATGATTTGAGAGAGAGAGGAAGTGGGGAGGGAGAAAACCATCACCTTGATCATATGCCTCCTCTGATGTGCCCCCAAATGGGAATCAAACTTGCAATGTGGGGATGTGCCCTGACCGCGGATCAGACCTGCAACTTTCTGGTGTATGGGACAATGCTCTAACCAACTGAGCCACCTTGCTAGGGCGACATTAATCATTTCAATCTGTTGTTTTTTCCTCATTTATGAAAATCAGTACAGGCTCAGTCCTCAAGGCTTTCAGGTACTTCACTCCTTCCCTGTGACTTTTGTGAGATTACTACCGAATTCTGAAACCACAGCTGTGAGTTTCAGTCAGTACATTGGGATGTCATTTTGGACAAGAGGATTTAAACTTATTGAAACTAATTCTTATGCTGTTGTGACCTGTCTTGGATATTAGTTCTTACTTAATGATAGCTATTCTACTGCCAATTAGTAGAAATAGATCACCAGTTCTGCCTTTTTTTCCTGAATCATCTTTGCAAAACAGTGTTCTAAATACTTTTTTTTTTAAAAGCCATCAGCATCTTTTATGAGCCTGTATACTCTGGACTGTACCATTTTTTTTTCATTAGATGTTTCACAAACAACTCATGTTCACCAAAGAAAATTTGGAAAGGAGAGTGAGCAGAAAAGTTGCTCACAGTCGACCATCAAACCCAGTCATTGTCAACATTTTGTGTATTTCCTTCTGATCTTTTCTGTGTGCAGACATTTTTGTTTTTCCCTTTCCTTTTCACAGTGTGTCATCTGCATTTTCCATGTCATTATGTAGCCTGATGTTAGTCTTTTAGATTCTTACATTTCTTACATTGTTTTAAATTTGTCATTTGTCACATTTACATTTGTCACAATTGTTTTATATTTGTCACAATTTTCTGTCTCCTATGTGTGTTCTTTGGCAAATTGTTCTCGCCCAAGCTTTGCTGCCTTCTCTTTCCTGGGGATCACCTCTCATACTTTGAGTAACTATATTTAGTGTCTTCCAAATTTTTTGATCATTCTAGTGTGAGGCCAAGGGATTGGCTTCTTTTTCTCTGAATTTTCAGAAATCTGCTTTCCTAATACGTGACATTCGTTGTCTTCTGTCCTGTTACAAAAATACAAGATAGTACCCTCACCACCTTGCCTGTAGTTAGTATTCAGTAAATGTCCAGTTCTCATTCCCTAATCCATCTGTTCACTGTCATCTCAGTAGTTAGCCCTTTCTCATTGATTGGGCACAAATCTAGGCTCTTGCTTTGTTTTATTTTAAGCTGTGACATTGTCAGCAAGGTGAGGAAGTACTGAGCATTTCCTTTGGCAGTCTTACATCAACTTTTGAGCTTAACAAAATTTCCATCTCTAGTGGGTCTTGCCACTGTCAGTTTGGTTCTCTTCTGAGAATTAACCTTTCTCTTCCCCTCTTTTTTTTTTTTTAAATACATCTTTATTTCAGAGAAAGGAAGGGAGAGAGGGAGAGAGAGAGTTAGAAACGTCAATGATGAGAGAGTTATTGATCACCTGCCTCCTGCACACCCCCTGCTGGGGATCAAGCCCGAAACCTGGGCATTTGCCCTGATGGAGAATCGAACCTTGATCTCCTAGATCATAGGTTGATGCTCAACCACTGAGCCATTACGGCCAGGTGAGAATGAACCTTTCTTAGATCTTCCTGCTGATTGAGACTAGTTTATCTTTGTAGTGATACAGCTTTTGTATCTCTACCTGCTTCTTTTGAACAAGATTGTCCGTTGCTGTTTCTAGATGTGTACAACGTTCTCTTTATGTTAAAATAAGGACATCTGAGGTCAGAAACTTTACTCCTTACTGGCTTTTGTTTTTTGTTTTTAAGCTATTTCCTCAACTGTAGGGTTTGTTTTTTAAAAAATAAAGATGCTATAACCTTAGAAGAATGCTATGATGCTTTTGATATTTTATTTTTGTCATTTCTTTTGTCTTTATTTTTTTTTTTTTTGCTTTTCTCATTTATGATTAAACCCTGTTATCAGGTCAGCAAGTCTCCTAAAAGATAATTTTTCCCCTCATCCTCAGTCTGTTTTCTCTGCCACCTCCAGGAGCTTTCCCGGTTGTTTGTTCATCTCTTTACTCTCGAAGGCATCTTTTTCATCCGTACTCACGGCTTTTAGCTCCAAGAACTGAGAAGACCCCTTGGTCTAACTCCTTCAGTTTCCCAATCTGGATGTCTACCGGTCTCATTGGGCCATTGTTCACTGTTGCAGTGCGGGTCACTGATAAAGACTTGTTGAGATTCATAGGTCCTGATGGTATCTCCATCTTCATAATCTGGGTGGCAGGAAGGTATCGCTTGATTTAATCTGGACACACCTACATGGGCTCCCCTTAAACCTTTTACTCTTAAAAAATGACAAAACAAACATTTGTGTGAGCTACTATGTGAACCCATGTGTGTTTGGGGTAGGTACCGGGGAGTACCTATGCTATAGGACATGTGCTAAATTACATTCATAATAGACACTCCCATGTGTCATTCAGAGTGGCTGTGCCACTTCACACTCCCACCAGCAGAGGGAATGGCTCCTTCCCCCACACTACCAACAATTGATAATAAGAGACGAATTTAAAAAAAAACAATCATTGAAAACTGGTATCTTGTTTTAACATGCGTTTTTCTGATTGTGAGGTCAACCATCTTGTCATGTTTATTGTATTTCCTGTTGTGTGGATTATCTGCTCATGTCCTGCCCATTTTTATTTTAAGCTGTCATTATCTTATTATTTGCAGGATTTCTTTACTCTAATTTTCTTCTTTGCTTTATGTCCAAGGGCAGCATCTCTTCTTTTTCAGAAATTGCCTTAACTCTTGCACATTTTTCTTTGACATACATTTAAAAATTTTAGAATCAGCTTGCCAAATTTAATGAATAATCCTGTTGAATTTGGTATTGTTTTAATTATTACATGTTAATTTGGGGAGAGATACCATGTATTTTATCAGCACTATTTGTTTGATCTTTCTCAGCCAAAATGCCTGTTCTGAATTTGTTTAATGCTGTTTGGTCTGTGATTAAAAATTAAAATAGTATCATTTTCTTTTGAAATAAACGTCATCTCTTTCAGCATATTACTTTTCTAAATACATGTTATCTAAACTGTGTAATGGGGTACTGAAGGGATGTGCAATAGTGGGCAGGAAAATTCTCTCATCTTTTTCTGTGTCCTGTTTTTTAGCAATCCCCAAAGTGAGACTGGAGACGATCTACATTTGCGGAGTAGATGAGATGAGTACCCAAGATATCTTTTCCTATTTTAAAGAATATCCTCCAGCTCACATTGAATGGTTGGATGATACCTCCTGTAAGTATACCCAAGTTCTCTGTTGAGTATGCTTTTGTTTATGATTTAAAAAGTGTTCTTGCCCGGCCAGGCATGGCTCAGCGGTTGAGCGTTGACCTAGGATCCAGGCGATCGGGGTTCGATTCCCGGTCAGGGCACATGTCCAGGTTGCGGGCTCTATCCCCAGTCGGGGGCGTGCAGGAGGCAGCCAATCAGTGACTCTCTCATCATTGATGTTTCTATCTCTCTCTCTCCCTCTCCGTTCCTCTCTCTGAAATCAATAAAGATATATTTTAAAAATAAAAATAAAAAGTGTTCTTGCCATCTCAGATGGTGAATGATTATGGCCCAGACTACTTGTCTGTGCTTAACCTCTGCCCTTTGCGTAGGAGAGAAAAAAAATGCCCATTGATGAGAACTAGATGCATTAATTAGCTTACCAGATTATACCCTATGAGTATTCTAAGTCAGCTCAGAGGTGGTACTCAGAAAGTTGGTTGCTGGCATCTGAGTCCAGTATACAGGATTGAGGCCTCTCTAACGCCCACAATTTCTCCAACAATTTCTCTATCCAGCTGTATAGACTTGGGCTGAGGGCTGCGTTTTCAGGACTTTAGACTTGGTCATTGCAACTAGCCATATGATTATTCGGAGGCTGGCTCTGCGACCCTCCGACACTGTACCAGACCTCTCATCTCCACTTGCTTTGGACTGTGTTTTCTGGACTTCACCTGCTTGCACTAACCTGTGAGCTGTTTAACCTGTGAGCCAACTGTAATTTTTTGTTTAATCCTCACCTGAGGGTTTTTTGCTGTTGATTTTTGGAGACAGTGGAAGGGAGGGGAGGAGGAGAGAGAAAGATTGATGTGAAAGACACATATAGATTGGCCCCCGCTCCCCGCATGGTCCGGGGCCTGCAACCCAGGTATGTGCCCCTGACCGGGAATGGCACCTGCGCCCCTTCAGTGTGGGCCGGCGCTCTGACCACGGGGCCACCAGCCGGGCCCAACCGTTACACCCCAAGTCTGTCTTGACTTTGGTGACCACTCTGCCGGCTCCTTATCTTGACTCACTGCTAGCCTGCCTTCACTTGCTGCCAGCTTGCTGACAGACTCCGTCATGCCCTGCACAGCATCCTGGTTTTTCTGGCTGCTTGCTTGGAAGATGGTGATTCGTGTTTCACTGAATAAGAAACGTGACCGAGGAAAAGATTTTTGTCCTTTTTCCTTTCCCTTAACTTACGTGATCCAGACCGGGGCCTTGCCAAGCCTTTTTTTATGAAGGGCTGGGTACTAAATATTTGAGGATTTGCACATCATATGGTCTTCGTCGCATTTATTCAGCTCTGCCATAATAACCTGAAGCAGCCATCGACAGTATGTGTAACTGAGTGAGCCTGGCCATTTGCCATAGAACTTTATTACAAAAACAGGCAGTGGATGTGTAGTTTGTTTACATTAATTATACCTAAATAAAGCTGGTACAAATATAAACAAACAAATAAATGGCAGATGATGGGCTGGATTTGGCCTGCAGATTTTAGTTTGTTAACCACTGGTTTAAGTCATTAAAACTAGGTAAGGGATATTACAGTTGGAGGCACCCTTAGAATTATCCAGTTCAACTACCTCATATTGTGCATCAGAAACTGAGAAACAGAGAAGGGAAATTGTTACTGACATACCGTGTTGACGGTATGTCAGTAACAAAGGTGAGACTGACTCTTAGACCTTCATTTCCCAAACTGAGCTGTAAATGCTGTTTTCAACAGTTAAACAGGTTACTTTTTTATAAGGCTTCTCAAAACTTTTTTCTTGCTAAATTCTCTTCCTAAAAGAAGCAATTTCAGTTAGTTGCTACAAAGCCAAGAGTCTGTTATGTCTCCATTGTATAAGTCCCATGATGGTACCATCATCAGTGGGGGAGCATCATTTAAAAGCATGTCTGGATCGCCCCAGCCAGTTTGACTTGGTGGTTAGAGCACCGGCCCACGAACTGAAGGGTTGTGTGTTTGATTCCAGTCAAAGGCACGTACCTTGGTTGCAGACTTGATCCCTGGGTCTGGTTGGGGGACGTGCAGGAAAAAAACAATCAGTGTGTCTTTCTTGCATCATTGTTTCTCTCTCTCTCTGTCTCTTCCCCTCCCTTCCACACACTAAAAAAATCAGTGGAAAAAATATTGTCGAGTGAGGATTAACAACAACAAAAAAAGCATGTCTGTGTGATAAGGAACGGCATAGGGCTTCCCTGTGGGCAGTGGTATAGAGGATAATCCAAGTTTATTTGATAATTGTCATCATCATACTCATCAGGAACTAACATGTAGTACTGGGTGCCAGGCAGTTTTAATGTACAAACTCTTTTTCGTGGAATATTTGACCATTATTTTGTGGAATTAGCTCTAGGCTAATTTCATCAAAGAGGCGTTACTACTACTTTCTACTCTTTTCACTAGTTGGTTTGTACATTAATTGCTATCACTCTATACCTAGATGAAGCTGTAACAATGAATATGAAGCAGTTTCTGCACTCAGGAAACTTAACTATTTGGAAGTAATGTAACGTTTTATTTTACATTTTATTTTAGGTAACGTGGTTTGGCTGGATGAAATGACAGCCACACGGGCCCTTATCAATATGAGCTCTCTGCCAGACCTGGATAAGATAAGAAGCAGGGATGCCAGTGAGGACAAGTCATCTGAGAAAAGCAAAAAAGGTAACTGAACACAGAGGAGAGACTTGGGAGCTGAAAGTCCAGTTATTCACTCAGTTGGTTTGGGTTTCTGTGCAGAGTATTATATAGCACCTCATCACCAGGTATTTCTGAAATAGGCTCTGATGTTTTGGATCATCAGTAAATAGAAGGAGAAAATAATTGGACTTTTAAATGATGTGAATGGAGTTGCATTAAAGTTCATCTTGTCCCTCACGTTCCATTGTAGATAAGCAGGAAGACAGTTCAGATGATGATGAGGCTGAAGAAGGAGAAGTTGAAGATGAAAACTCCAGTGATGTAGAGGTTAGTAATAGGGAAGAGATACATGTGAGGTTTTACTGTAAAAATCCTGCTTACTGTCTTCTTATTTAAGGCTTAAAGACTTAGTAAGTTGCGCTTTTCCTCTGGCTCTCACCATTGGACTTTCTGAGGGTGCACCAGGCCCTTGGCCTTTAAGCTTGTGTGACTAATGAATGATTCATCTTGAGATCTTAGAACAGTACTCACACTTTTAAAAGATAAAATGATTTTATTGAGAAATACTTTAAAGTGTTATCAGTAACATTAAGAAAAAGCAAGAAATGGCATGTTTCCTAATGGATTATGTACTATTGTTGGAAAAATTAAAAGTGTATTCATTTAAAACTATGCATTAAGTGCCTGCCTACTATATACCAAATTCTAGGTGCTGGGGATATAGCGTCAAGCAAAACAAAGTCTTTGCCCTCTTGGAGCCTACATTCTAGTGGGGAAGACAGTACACAGATACACAGATATATAATATAATGTCAGGAAGTGATAAGTGCTATGAAGAAAATTAAGAATGGTAAGTAGATAGAGAGTGATGGAGACCATTTTTTTACAAAGTGGTCAGGGACAACCTCTGACTTAGAGCTAGTGCTGTAATGCTGATGAGTATTATTAAAGGCAGAATGCTTTCTTAATGGTAACTTTGCTACTGAATAAAAGTGAAAATGGCTTTAATTTTTATATTGAAATACTCTTTTTTCTTAAGTTGGACACATTATCTCAGGTAGAAGAAGAGTCTCTGCTAAGAAATGATCTTCGTCCAGCTAACAAACTTGCTAAAGGAAATAGGTTGTTCATGAGATTTGCTACAAAAGGTAAATGTGATTTTTGGTATTGATTTTTATTTTTAATCAAAGTGATTTATTATTGAGTGACATCCTTTTCTTTTGAATCAGAAGTTAGATCAAGCAATCTCAAAGTCCCTTCAAACTTCAATACTTTGTGCTTATGAAATGATGGCTCGCTGCCCAAGTTGGAATTTCTGACTTTGAAAGTAAATATTAACTATTTGTATTCTTTTGTGATTTCTGGCTCAAGTAAGTTATTTTCTGGTAAAGCTGGTTTGCCCCATGTGCTTTTCAGCCAATTTATTATCTGAATTATGAAAACCTTTTAAAATTGTATATATATATGTGTGTATACATATATATTTTTTTAAATATATTTTTATTGATTTTAGAGAGGAAGAGAGAGGGAGAGAGATAGAAACATCGATGAGAGAGAAACATCAACATTGATCGGCTGCCTCCTGCACATTCCCTACTGGGGATTAAGCCCACAACCCAGGCATGTGCCCTGACTAGGAATCGAACCAGCAACCTCTTGGTGCTTGAGTTGACGCTCAACCACTGAGCCACTCTGGCTGGGCTAAAATTGTATATTTTACAACAGTATCCTCCTGGACATTGTTCATAGTGCCATTCGGCTCCGTTTCTCTAAGGAATTAAATCAAGTCTCTAATAATTTGTAAGGCTTTTTATGCACAATGATTTTTGGTGCACATTAAACACGCAGTTTCTTTTTAATTGTTTGAGAGTTAATGAAAGATGACGACCCTTCACTTTTGAATACTTCTGGAGAACGAGGACTTTATTTTATACAAAGCACAGTTATCAAAATCAGGAAATTTAATAGTTATACAACACTATGACATAATCCATAGTCCACATTCAGATTTCATTAGTTGTTCTAAGAATTCCCCCACTCTGTATATGAAAACTGCCTGACACACTGACTGCTGTGTGTAGCAGTTTTTGATGATAATGATGGTAACTGTCAAATAAATTTGTATTTTCCTATTTACTACTTGCCCATTAAACGAATCCACTCCAGGATTGAGTGTTGAAGCACACCATGTCTCCTTAGTCTCCCTGGATCTGGCTGGACCTACTCCTCTGCTTTGTTTTTCTTGACTGAACCATTTCTTAAAGAGTATAGGCTCATTTTGTAGACTGCCCTTTAGTTTGGTTTTGTATCATGTCTCTTCCTGATTGAATTTGGATTGTACATTTTAGGCAAGATTATACCACAGAAGTGGTATTATGTTGTTTTCAAGTGCCTCATATCAGGAGGCATATGATACTTATTTGTCCCATTCCTGGAGATAACTTTCATCACTTGGTTAAGGTAATGATCACCAGGTTTCTCTATACTGTCAACTTTCTATTTTTCCATTTGTGATTTTAAAATTTGTGGGAAGACACTTTGAGATTATGTAAGTAGCCTGTTGCTCATCAAACTTTCACACAGTAGCTTTAGCATCCATTGACTTTTTAACTCCCATCATTTCTTTTTTAGTATTTCTTTTTTAGTTGGCAGTCTGCTGTAAGGAAGAGCTTTCCCTTTTGCCTATTGATTTATTTACGTATATCAGTTTATCCATTGCTGTCATTATTTTGAGTCATGAATTGTCTTGGATTTGGCCAGTGGAGCCCCTTCCAGCTCTCTGCTTTTGACATGTCTCCATGATTCTTGGATCACTTTCTTTATGGCACACTAAAACATCTTGTTTTTCCAAACCCAACTTGTATTTTCCCTTCATCAGACCTGGAACCAGCTCTTCCTCCTCGGGCATGTATTTTTGTAGGGCGCACATACTAGTTTGTGCCGCTAAGTTTACCCATAAGCACTGATATGTTCACACTGGGGTTTGTCCTTTGCAGTCAGTGAGTGCCCAAGGAGCTGTCAAGTCCTTTATATAATGAGAATTATGTGTGGTCACTGACCACCTTTCCTTCCTATTAACTGGCATTTTAACCTGACAAAGGGATCTTTTCTACATTTACTGATTTGAGTGGTTGAGTGCATTCTAGATATATGTATGGTACTGTGCTGTTTTCTTTAAGCCGTTTTGAGGAAATCACGATAAACTAGAAAAAATGGTTTATAAAATATAGAGAATTATGTATAGTCTGTTTCTTTAATCCTGATTCTGTGTTATTGCTGTGTTGTCATTTGGAAATGAGTGTCATCTTTCAGGGGGCAGTGAAAATGTCAGTTCTTCTAAAAAGCCTATTTGCTGAGCACTAAAGCTCTCTCATACTTCTTAGAACCTTGTATCTTGTATTGTTGGGGTTTTCTATTAGTATTTCCTCTATGAAGTCAACTCCTTAACAGCAGCTTCACCTCATTCATCTCTATTTTGCTCCGCCCCGCCCCTCGCTCTGCACTGCCTTAGCCGGCATTCAGAGAGGGAATGTTTACAGTGCATTTTTCCCTTCTGTTGGCAGGCTGTGCGCTGATCTGATCCCAGCTGTGCAAAATAGTCTTTTTTTTAAACCATTCCACATTGTTTTCGCACCCACAGGAAATCCTAGGTAACTGTTGTAATTAATTTTTAGATGACAAAAAGGAACTTGGAGCAGCCAGAAGAAGTCAGTATTACATGAAATATGGGAATCCAAATTACGGAGGCATGAAAGGAATTCTTAGTAATTCTTGGTGAGTCCAAAAGTGTAAAATATAATAGTTAAACTTTTCTTAATCCTTTAGTTGGTATTCTGCAGTGGAATGTCAACACCATGTGTGGACTCGAAGGAAGACAAGAGGGAAGAGTACAGAATTCTTAACTGTGGTAATGGGGTGAGAATGCTGAGTTTTAGTTTCATTTCAGATGTCCGTGTCAGCACCTGACATTGTGTCAGAGTGTAGTTGAAATTAGTGGGTTTCAAGGTCCTTCCTGGGTCTTTGATTATGTGCTTATTTTGGCAATGTTGCAGGAAGCGAAGATATCATTCCCGTCGCATTCAGCGGGATGTGATCAAGAAGAGAGCCCTGATTGGGGATGATGTTGGCTTGACGTCCTATAAACATCGACATTCCGGTAGTTGCCTGCTCAGCTCTTGGGTAGACACATGTTTGGCTCCCGAAATCATATTTTTATTCTTAATACAGTCTTTTAAGGTTCCAAACTTTATCATCCTCTCTTCCTTGCCCTCACCCTCTGCCAACATATAGGAAAGTAAGTCAAGTCACAATTAATTTTGAATTGCCCATACAAAGAGGTCAAATGATTTTGTAAAAGCTGTTCTAACAAAGACCAAATGTGACATAGGGAAAATTAAAATAAAACTGTTCTTAGGAATCTAATTTTTCCTATGTATATCAAAAACTGCATGAAAATTTTTTTTTAAATATTTTGTCAGATGAGCTGATTTTATTGTTCTTTTGTCTGAAAATGAAAATAGGCTGCTATATCTAGTGTTTTATGCTTATTGGCTTATGCACATGAATGTCTCCAAAAAGTGGGATATCATGACTTGGGTTTTCTTTCCTTCTCTTCTCTTCTCTTCTCTTCTCTTCTCTTCTCTTCTCTTCTCTTCTCTTCTCTTCTCTTCTC